TGAAACGGAGCTGTCAGACCAGTGTAAACTGACAGGATAGGTGAGGCCTCTGAAGAGCAAGGAAACATTCTGTACACTCACTTCTGCAATTGTTCTTCCACCCCAGCCCTCTGCCCCCAGACCTCATCTCACCTGCCTAAGAGGGTAAAGCAACCCTGAAGCTGGTCAGCGCTGAAACATCTGTGTTGGTGAAAGCGAATGGCTAGGATGCAGATAGAGGAGCGAGGGGATTGCACTGTGAGGTGGCCCTTTCAGTGGAAGTGAGGAAGGGGTTACAGCTGGGGACAGACATGTAGCAGCAGATTGGAGAGACCCCCGACCCAAATCCAGGTGTCCTCAAAAGCAGCAGTCCTGCAAAATAAGTACGCTATATATTTGCTACAAATACAAATGAAATGCCTTACTTATAAATATGTATAATCTATATAAACACACCCACATATATGTATGCCTAGCTCCCAGGTCCTAGCTGTAATGTGCTCCCGAGGCAGCATAGTAGGGGTAGCTGCCCGGGAACAGGGCAGGGCTGTCTGGACTGCACTCCCCAGCAAGTCCTGAGACCTGGGGGCAGCAACACTTATCCGAGCACTTCCCACGGCTACAGGTCCTTTGCCTGCTTCTCCAGGAATGAGAGACACTTAAAAGAAGTGCTCACGTCAAAAATGTTGAGAAAATTTGTAAGGCACGGAAATCTCTCCTTTTTTTTACCTGATTCAGAGTGCATCAGCTCCCTTGGAAATGTTAGCGCTTAAGCAGGTGTGTGGGCACCTTGCAGCCTCGGGTGATACTTGCAGAAGATGGATCAAACTGTAGTTCGCTTCTAACTTGCTCCCGGTGTGATTAAAACGTCTTTCCTCCGTCCTGCTCTGGTTTTGCTGAGTGTGGAGCCGGGGAGGGGTGGTTCCTTTCTAATTTTGTTGTGTGAAAATGTTTGGAGAAATCCGGAAGGCTTCGACCCTTCTTCTCCACTTCAAGGCATCAAAGGCTCCTAGAGACTGGCAAGAGCCAAACCCGGCTACAGTAGAATTACTGAAGGGAGTTTTTGTCCCCGGACAGAGACCCCCGGGAACACTTCACACCTTCAGTGCAAAGAGGACCTGGGAGCAGAGTTAATAGCAGCCAGAAAAGTGGAGTTGAAAGCAAGACAGTCTTCAGTTTTTTTATTTTTTTGCTTTTGTAATAGAACGTCTCTTCCGAGATCAAAAGGGCCTCACATTGTGACAACAAATGCTTTAGGGAAAGGAGAAACGTTTCACACTAAGGGGTAAGGAACAGATGGCCCGGGAGTATCAGCCACGCCAGGCCAGAGCACCGGGCGCTCTCCCCGGGTCCCCGCTCTGGGAGCGGAGCCAGAGGAGAGGGGCTGCGCGGTGTTCCCGCAGCGTCCCCTCCTCCCGTCCAGGGACCGCAGCTCCGGCTCCGCGACGGCCGTTAATAATTTACACCGTTACTTTTCTTTAACTGGGAATTTCTCCTTCCTTTGGGATATTAAAGGAATAAATCTCCATTAAGACGTTGCTTTGTGTGTGAACGTACAGGGGGACTTGGCTAATTTTCCTGCTCATGAAAAATGCAGTAGTAGGGACCCACAGACAGACAGACTTGCAGATATGAGAATATAAAGGATTACAAATAGCCACGTCGTTGTGTATCATATATATGTAAACTAAAGGAGTGTAGGTAGACTTCATATTTCGGGAAGTGTCTGATAATGCCCAACTATGGAGACAGGGCTGAATATAGATAGAAAGAGGCTTAGGCATGTGGGTCTCCAGAGACACGTATGTGCTTCTTTCAGTGTGGTCTATTCCGATGTGCTTCGGTCCTCACCGAAGGACCTCATGTGTGCGGTCACATTACATATGGCTATATAGGTAATTGCACAGTAGCGAAGTAGCAGCCCCCGCTCTTGAGCTGCTTCTCGGAGTGCGAGGCGGCCACGTGTGTCCCTCGCTGCTTCCCAGGGGCATCTGTTACCGGCCGAGGGACCCCCAGCTGGGCTTGTCCTGGCTTGGCCTTTCCAGCCGGCTCCTGCTTCACAGCAGTGAATTTCGGGCTCTTGAGACAAAAGGGAGCGTGAGAAACTCGGAGGGAGAGGGGGGAAAAAGCGATTAGCTGTATGCGGTGAGCGTTGTTAAAGAAACGCGGCTTGGCAGCGACGGGGCCAAAGGGAGCGGTGAGGGAGGCCTGGAGGGGGGCTACATATGTAAGGGCGCAGCAGCACCGTCTCTGCGGACTCTTCCGGAGGCTCCCTTTGAGTTTCAAATAGGCACTCGGGGGTCTTTGTTGTGCCCGACACACTAACACATCAGTAACCTCCTTTTTGTCCTTTCCTTTTTGCTCCGTGTGCTGGACGGGGCCGTCCGGCCCGAGCGTAGGGCGCGGGTTCGCGTCCCTCCTCACCTGGCTCCGAGCAGCGAGCGGGGCTCGTGCCCCTTCCCAGTCTGCGTTAGGGCGCGCCGAGGTCCGTAGTCACAAGGCAGGGGGTAAATCTTCGCCGTGGAAACTCACGAGCCTTCCGAAGAGCACCCCCCTGTTTCAAATGAGGTGGTTCATACCACATAAGTTCAACAAAACCTTCAACCACATTGTTTCAACTCATAAGTTAAACGAAGCTGACTCACCCCAGCAGGTTATAAAGTCAATCTGGCTGCCTTGGCTTTTTTTTTCCCCTGTCTCTTCTGATGTTTTGCAAACTGCTAGTGTAACGAAATCCTCTTTTCACCTTTCCCCCTTCCTTTTTCTCTTATCTCTGGACTAATTGGACACTAAAAATCCTTTCTTTCGAGCCAGGGAAGTATATTATATAGCGGAAGATTGTATCGCTGGGGAAGAGCGATGCTCTGTCGCCCAGGGACCTTCAGAGGAGTCGGGCTGGGGCTGAGCCCGGGCCGTGCGCCGCTGCGGGGCAGGGCGGCAGGACCCGGCTGCCGTTGTAGCAGGTACTTTGCTCATTCCTTGCCCCACGCACGCCCCCACCAAAAAGGTCTGCAAATTTGACGAAGCCAGAACAATAGTTTCTCCTGGCAGCCCTTGTGTTTACTTGTTTAGAAATCCCAGAGGCGTTTCGAGGTAAAAAGGTCAGAGCTATATCCGGACTGCCTCCCTCCTCCCTCCCCACTCTGCAAAGTATCCGCCTGGCAGCAGAAAGGCTCTGCCCCCCTTTGCGCTGGGGATACCTGCTGTGGGCCCCAGGCTCGAGTCCTTTCACGAACAATTCTTGACCGTTACTTGCACTCTGGAAAATACCCATTCTCCTTTCAGGGGTCATCTTGGGAATCTTACGGGAGAAAACTAATTCACGCTTCATTTTGGTTTGCATTGGATCAGCTTTGCAAAACTGTTCCTTGTAATTCAGAAACACGCATTTCCCCTATCCGGGACCCCAGGTTCGTTCCACTTAATACTGTTTCACTAAAGCAGATTTGCTTCCGTGCAGGGAACGGTTACACTGAGGATGATGATGATGTTCTGGTCACATCAGGCCTTATTACACTCTGTATTATAAAATAACTCCTCATGAGGAGCGGCACATTCCTACCTGGTTCCGTTGGACTTCGCACCGCCTCTGCAGCGGAGGCGAGAACGGGGCCCGATCCTGCCGCTGCCGGTACCAGGAGGCTTCGGGGGTCATCGGGGGAGGCAGGATCGGGCGCTTTGTTTGGGAGCTTTGGCAGCAGCCGGAGCCTTTTCCTTCCTCCTCCTCCCTCCGTTCCCGGGTTCCCCCCTCCCCATCTCGCACATTTCCCTGGACCTGAGATATTTCCATTTAGCTCAGAGCTGAGAAGATTTGCATGTGGAAAAAGTAAACTTTATTAGATTGAGGTAGTTTCATTTCAAAGTACAGAGCACGGGAAAGGGAGCGGAGACGAAACGGGAGAATCCGATTAAGAAATCGCTAGTTTTTCTCGATGTCGTTTTTCTCTTCGAAGCACTTTTTAACGACAGTTTCCGTGATTTTCATTTCGTTCTACGCTAAAATTTCTCGTAGGGAAGGGAAACAACTAATCATGGTTCAATAACGTTTTTATCGGACTTCAATAAGCCTAAAGGAGGGGGGGCGGTTTACAAGGAACCCTGCTACTTCGTTTCAAGACTTCAGGCTATCGACACACACCATAAATACCAGTCAGTCCATCAGTGTCTTGAGGGAGTCAAGAGCTGAGGTACCACTCCGCAGCCTTGTTCCCGTGCACATTCACACCTCGTACGACAATGACCGTTGCCCAAAGTACCCCGAGGTCAGCCTTCTCCTAATCTCGTTTTCTCTGATAGCATAACCCTCCCTCCCCCAGGACTAGTAACAATCATAGTCGAAGAGTGTGCAGAACCCTGTAAAGCAGTAATAGTGCAAAATGATAGAAGAGGAGTTGCATTTTTGACTTGTATTTGTTTGTATCTTTCCAGAGGCCTCTAGCATTTGGATGTCAGATCTCATTCCAAGATATACAAAGAGTAAATAAAAGAGAAACAAAATATGCCCAAAACTTTTTACACTCTCATAGGGAGGACAAAATACATCAAATGTAGGATTCTTGCAGACAAAAGTCATTGTGCACATTTTAAAAACAGGAGAGAACTAAATTCGTTTTAAAGTTTCTGTAGTTGAAAGTGCAGTTCCTATTGGGGAAGGAGAAGGGAAAGGGAGAGGGAGAAACATCCCTGAGACAAATGGCTATTGCTAAGAATATATGAGGACACGGCTGCTCCTTTGGAGTCCAGTGTTTTACAGCGGGTCTATAAATTAAGAGAGAGAAATGCAAGCAGGAGAATTAATATCGCACGTGTGGAGACGACTCTAGCCAAAGGGACTGCTCAGAGGGGACGTGTATCCTGCTTCCGCGCGGGTGGATGTGCCCGCTCTGCTCGTGCGTGTGTGTGGACGGGGCTGTGCATGGGAGGCGCGTGTTCGTGCGTGTGCGTCTGTTCGGGGCTGCCAGGAGCAGCTGCCCCGCCAGAGCAGACCCGAGTTGATCGCTGTGCCCCTGGAGGGACGTATTTCAGGAAGATACCGAACTGGGGGAAGCCTCAGGTGAGGTGCAGTTGGACTGATCCGATGCTTCGTTTGCTTCCTTCGCAGACCTGGAAGCAGCAACCGGGGCTAGACCTTCCTTTTCCCTCTTCTTCTGCTTCATCCGCCTGTTCTGGAACCAGATCTTCACCTGGGTTTCGTTGAGCTCCAGGGTAGCAGCGATCTCCACCCTTCGGGCCCGGGTGAGATACTTGTTAAAGTGAAACTCTTTCTCCAGCTCTGTCAGCTGCTTGGTGGTGAAATTGGTGCGGATGGTGTTGGGCTGGCCCAGCAGTCCGTACTCCGACACTTTAGCTGTTAAAAAGCAAACATCAACAGGGTAAGAGCAGCCAAAGCAATTCCCTCCCTAGGGCCGGGGACACTGTGGGTGCCTGATTAAGCGGGCTCTCCCCCGCTCCCCCAGTTTCCGGGGCATTTGGTCCCTCTACCACCCGCAGCTTGGTCCTTTCTCCCGGAGCCTGAGCTATCCTTGGCTTCCCAGCCCAGGGATATCACCTCGAGGGACAGATAGTCCCAGGCTCTGCCAAGCTGCCCCCTTCCTTTGCAACTGTCCCCCCGTTTTTCCTGCAAACTGCCATGAAACTTGAACGTGCACAAGAAGGACTGGAAGGGGAGGGCGAGGGCGATGATGAGGGGAGGAGAGCAGACTGAAATTTAAAGAAGAAAGTAGAGAAGGAAGTTGAACAATGGGGGAGATGGACGCCACAACTGTGGAAGAAGCAGGAAGCCTGGAGCGTTTCCTATTCCGAGCTGAGCTTAAATCGCATTGGGCCTATGGGGAAGTGAGTTCAGGGACTCTCCATCAGATGCGTCTGGAATATCTCTAGCTGGCTTTTCTGCAGCGCTGAGCTGGTGTTTAAATGAGAATGAATCCATGTTCCCCTGGAAGATGAGCCTTGAGTACCAGCCCCAGGGAAGGCAGCCTTTACTAGCAAGGCTGCACAGCTGCCCCCCTGTCTTTCTTCTCCCTCCCCCGGAGGGGACCCATCCTCGCAAAGCTCTGCGCTCGCCAGACTCACCTGTTTTGGGCGGGTTCCTCTTCACTTTCATCCAGTCGAAAGTCAGCGTGGCGCTGGAGTTGGGGCATGGCTCAGAGGGGCACGCAGGGTCTTTGTCCTCATTTAGAGAAGGCGAAAGACTGCTGTAAACCGCGGGCAAATAGCCGGGCTGTTCCTGCCCGTAAAGGGGTTGTTGCTGGTACTGTCC